CTCAGGAACTCTGGCACAGGAACTCTAGCATTTGAAGCACGCAAGTCTTAAAGCTGTGAAGTTACAAGACCCTCGCACCCCTAACCCTTTAGAAAAAAATCCTGGGATGTTCAAACTTGACAGCTTTAAGACTTTAAGGTTTAGATAGGACTCTTAGAGGCGGGCGGGGCGATTGGTGAGCCAGCCAATCAGTGAGCGGCGGGCAGGGCAAGTGTGGTGTGGACAGGCGGGGGCAGGGAGCTGGAACCGATTGTAAATGGCACGATAGATTTGTGGAACCTTTTCTATAGAAGAGGTTAGAATTAGCAGGAACCCACCCCTGTATAGAATGCAGGACATTTCTGAATGGATTTCAATTACAATGTCAAATTATTATGGGCTGAAAGCTGACAATTAAGTCTAAATACTGGGAAAATAGTTAAATTCAGTGCATTTAGAGAACCTCAGATTATAGTACAGCTATTTTTCAAGATTAACACCTTCAAAGTATAATGTAAACACCAAACAATAGTGTAACTGAAGTCTGAATTAGATGACTATGGGAATGTAGTGATTCACAGGAATGTAGAAAATGAGTGAGTGACATGTGACCTGAAAGCCATGAGTTTGTGATTCCTGACTTAATCCCCCCCCCCTTTTCAAAAGAACAAAATAAAAAATAAGCAAAATAAGTAATAATATTCTCTCCTCTCTCCCTTTCAGCCTGCTATGATATTACACAGAAAGTTTCTATGCTGTATATACATAGACTGAAAGGGTAATAAGGAGATATTAGGAGCCATTTCTATGAACATGTATAATATATGTGTCAGCTCTATACTATAGATCAGTAAAAAGAAATAAGAAATCAGTTTCTTGGAATTATCCTAAACCACATTTGTATAATTGTAGTCTTGGTAATGGGCTTTCCCATTGTCCTCCAATGCCATTCCCTGTACTCTACAATTTTTGTGCTTCTTACTAACATTTTCCCCAAATTATAGGGTTATTTATTTTTAAAAAATGTTCAAGCTAGAAATTGCAATCCAAGAAATATGGGGGCATAATAGCAACAGCAGGCCTCTCTTCATTATATTCTTAGATAAAAACCAAACAGACAGAACGAAGAAATGAAGGTATATGTCCAAGTCTGTCAGGAAGAGTTATTGCAGAATCTATTCACCAAAGAATGTTTCCAGATCCCTAGATGAAGAGTAGCTGTCATAAACCTTGTGGGAATCAATGATACAACCATACACAGCCCTGAAGACATTTATAGGCATTACCGTATATAATGCTTGCCAGAAGGAACTGGGGGCACATATAAAATTTTCCTCATTTCTTTTTACAAAATAATGAGGCCTTGGAAAAAGTCAAGAATACAAGAAGTGAAAGTCTGGCTAGGATAATGGTACCAATGGAAATCATTTGCATTCTTTGATAATGGAATGTATTCCCAAGATGAAATAAGGGATTGG